ATATATATATATATATATAATTTCTTTATTTATTTTTAAAGTATAGACAAGAGAAAAAATTATAGTAAATACTGACAAGTGAATGCTTATTGAACAATTAAGTGTACGATATAATAACCAGCCTCATACAATAAACATATAATAATAATAATAGAGGTCTTACTATGCCATGACCACAATTTCCAGGAAATCACAGGTAACATTAATATAAGCAGTGCACCACAAACTAGTGCAATCACCCAAATAAGGTCCCTGAAACAAATAAGGAAATTATTAGACTTATACTGAAGCTGAGATATGTTATCAGTTAGTATCAAATAGATCCAAACAGATGTTAAATAGTATTGATGTTTTAAAAGTATATTTTGAACGTACCTGCTTTCATAAGTGGTTTTGGGTTCTAATGTCAGATCTTTAGATGACAGAGTAACTGTAGAGTTACTACCAACATGTGGAGTTGTTGATCTGCTGGTTAGTGTTGTCCTAACAGTACTACTGCTGTGAGATGGGTCATTTTTTGAGTTCTCCATTGTGGTTGGATAGGATGAGGACTGTGTCGTTGAATGAAACCGCTTTGGGGATGCTGTAGATGTCTGGTCAGTTTTTTCTGTCTGAATCGAAGTACTTTCAGGTAATTTTGATGTTGTGGGTAAAAGTGTTACTACTGAATTATGGTTGTGTACATCTAAAGAGTTAGATGAAGTGAAAGATTGTGCAGTCGTAAACGTGAAAGGACCTGTAAAAAAAAACAGTCAGATATGACACATATTTGACACATTACTACTTGTTTTACTAAACTACATTTTATATCAGAACAGGAATGTGTTGTTTTGCTTTACCCAGAAACTCATTGTGAAATTCATTATTTCATTGGCATGTAATCCTATTATCTTTAAAGGGGAAGTGTGTAATTTCTTGAATATTATAATACTAAGCACTCAGAACATAAGAGCCAGCACCAAAGAAATAAAATGATAGGCTATAAAAAATATCTTTCTCCTTATCTAGCTTGATGTGCTGAGAGAAGACATTGGATGATTCCCACCAAAACTCTAAAAAGTTTTCTTTCAAAACATTGCTTTGTTTGGTTACTCCTACATTGCAACACTGGCTCAACCAATGGCATGAGTTTGGGGCGGGGCTATCTGTTTAGCCAACCAATGACTGACGAAGGAGTGTTCGAGAAACCTGTTTGAAATGTGATTTCGACATTTTTTGCAATTCTGTTGAATTGCGGTCGCAGAAATGACACATCAGCAAACTTCTGTGGGCAAAAGGTCCACTGTCCATTGCCAATAGCGTAAACTCACAGCAAAATGGGTAAGTACATAATCAAATGAATAAATCGTTGATAAACCATTTTTATATTATTTCAAATACATAGCCTACTCAGTGACTGGTACAATCTTTGTCATGGAATATATGTTTTGTTTACATAGACTTCACAGTTTGAACATCATTGGATGTTATTTTTAAGATCTAAGGTAAATTACCCACTGTAAATTTCATTATGGCTATTACAATCATGAAGTATGGAAGCCCGTTTCCACCACGAAAAAAAATAAATAAAAAAAATGACATCTTTTTTTTACATCTCACAAATTCTCGCAATTGAGTTATAAAGTGACAATTGCATGATATAAAGGCGCATTTGCGTGCTGTAATGTCAGAATTGCAAGATATAAATCACGAGACTTAACTCGCAATTGCAAATTTATATCACACAATTCTGAGAAAAGGGATCAAATTTTGCGAGATATAAACTTGCAATCGTGAGAAAAAGTAAGAAATGCGAGATATAAACTCATTATTGAGAGAAAAATTGTGAGGTGTAAATTCCCAATTGTTTTAATTATAATTACGCGGTGTCGCGTCTGGTAAGGATGTGGTGTTAATCTAATGTACATGTTAATGATATGTGAAATGTGATCATTACTTACTTGTGTTGGCATCTGTAATGAGTTGTCTTGAATCAACATTGATATGAACGGGAACCTGCACTTCCCCAGCCATACACCAATACCAGCCTGCATCTGTCTTCTTCAGTCCTGTCAGTGTCACCGTATAAGCGCCATCATTTGTATCATTTATCTGTACAGCTGCACCAAGGGATGGTTCTATATCCTGAGCCGTTTGACAGGAGTGCAGATCTCCACTTCTGCACCATTTTCTCGCAGTATCTTTAAATTTGTCACTGTAGAGACACTGTACAGTAACATTGCCGCCCTCTTCACCTGACACCGTGTTGCTGGCTGCTGACAGATCTGGAGTACCTGAAAATAATCAGTCAACAAAATCTATTAGTGATTTAACCGATGAACTATCAAATGCTTTGTAGTGGTACTAAAGTATCTCAAAATCATTTACCCTCAGTGACGGTAAGCTCTAGAGATGTTCTGACAAAGGTATTTCGTATTTTGACTGCACACCAGTAGCGGTTCGAATCACTGCTGCGCAGGTTTGTCATCGTCATGGTTGTTACCAGTTCATCTGGGCTGTTGTAAAAGCTGATGCCTGTTCGCTTCTCTTGGTTGGTAGGTCGCAGTTTCAAGCAGGTAAGCCAGTTCTTGCCCTTGAACCAGAGCTTTTCCAAGTTCTTGTGCAGCTGATGGTAGTGACAGGGAATGGTGACAGATCCTCCACTTTGAGCTGTTATCTTGCTTACTGTCCATAGAGAGTTGGTTCCTGTGAGTCACAATTTAAATATTCTCTAGAAAGATTTTCTTTGAAAATCTCACCCAGATTTTTTCACCGAAAGAATATCAGCAATATGAAATGATAAAAGGGTGAGAAAAATAATGATTCTTGGATGAACTATTCAAGGACATTATATAGCCTACAACTAGGTCACCAAATCTGACAAGGCAGTATTGGAGGTTACCAAACTCGGTTGCCCTCTCTACTTCACACCCAATGTCTTTACTGTTACCCAAATCCACACTGGTGATGTCTAGTCTTCTCTGTTTCATACAAAAAAAAAAAATTTGGGGTTTAATGTTAACAGCTGCAGAAATAGGGTCGCCAAATATGACAAGGCAGCACCAGACACTATTAAAATCTGTTACCCACTTCTACTTCACAAAGAATCGCTTTAATGCTACCCAAATTCACTCTGATAATATCTTAACTTATTTATTTTATATCCCAAAAAGCATTTCAGTCTGATGTGAACAACTGCACACATACAGCAGGGTCACCAAATCTGGCAAGGACACAAAAGACACAAACTTTTTCACTCTGGTGATACATGAACTTATTTATTTTATATCCTAGAAAGTATATTTCTCTGATGAGAACACACTCTTAAAAAAAAAATAAAGGTGCTTAAAAGGTTCTTCACAGCGATGACCTAGAAGAACCATTTTTAGTTTCCACCATGAACCACATTCAGTCAAATGTTCTTTAAAGAACCATGTCTTTCTTATCTCTTTATAATCTAAAGAACCTTCTTTCGCCACAAAGAACCTTTTGTCAAACAGAAAGGTTCTTCAGATGTTAAAGGTTCTTTATGGAACCATTTAGACAAAAAGGTTCTTCTATGGCATCGTGAAGCACCTTTATTTACAGTGCAGCTGCAGATACACAATAGGATCGCCAAATCACAAGGCAGCATTATGTTACCGTAATTTGTTACGGTAATTCGTTTCCAATTTCCTTCACACACAAATTCTACAGCGACCTCTAGGTCACTGATTTCGACACAACACATGTATTTATATAGCCCGTTATTTAACAGTCCGGCCTATGGAAGCCCGTTTCCGCCACTGAATAAAATTTGTTTAAAAAGGTAATTGCGACTTTTTTTCACAGAATTGCATGATATAAACTCACAATTGCGAGCTATAAAGTCAGAATTGAGAGTTATAAAGTCAGAATTGTGATATAAACTCCAATTTTAAAGTTAAAGTCCAATTTTGAGGGGGGAAAAATAGGGTGAATTCGGGTAATCTGGGACATTTTTTGCAATTTTGTCTTCTGCGATTTATTTCGATATCTATCTAACACATTAGATCAACACATTAGACTTTTCTGAAATCCCTAAGATGTTTTCTAACCACACCAGAAGATAGAATGTTGATATTATACCCAGAGGAGACATGCCACACCTATTAGTGTTTTTTGTGCCAAAAAAAAAAAAATCTGCCTGAATTTGATAATCTGGGACAGGTCACTTTGTAATCTGGGACATATGTATTAGGCCTAAAAAAAAGCCTATATTCACCATACTTTATGCATGCCAAACACAATATCACCAATTTTTAAAAAGCATTATGAAAAAAATGACAAGTACAGAAATCTCAATAAGGAAATGTATATTTCAATATCAGGAAAAATAATTTCTTTCTGTACACAGGATGAACAATCTACTGTGTTAATTCATTTTAATTCATTTAAAACTATTAAAATTGTTTAACATTTGTTTAACATTGTATTAACATTTTAAAGAATCAACTAAAATTTAAGCAACAGCAAGCAACAATTTGATTAATGGATTATTCAGTCAGTTATTCAAGTTCTCCATTCTATTAAAATTGGGGCTACTCGGGGAACAAACACTCAGAGTGTGTGTGTGTGTGTGTGTGTGTGTGTGTGTGTGTGTGTGTGTGTGTGTGTGTGTGTGTGTGTGTGTGTGTGTGGGGTGTGTGTGTGTGTGTGTACAGAACATTGTCAGCTGGCCTGGGCGCAGCTCCCCCTCCTCCCCCAACCGTTGTATAAACTAACTGGGAATTTGGGAAATGAAATTGACAGTTTACTTCATCCTCATACCTTTGCTTGCTACTGGAATACATTTCCCAGATTCCATCTCTGTAGCATTTCTCTAGCTAGCTGCTAGCTACTGTGAACTTATGCTAATGTTATAACCTCCAGTACTCCACATTTCTCATTATAGCATATGTTATCCCTTGTCATTAGACTTATAAAGTCCCTAAATGCATATTTCCTCCATTTGAAGACTGTCCCAGATTACCCAAAGCATGCTGTCCCACATTCTCAATCATATTTGATAATGTGGGACAACAAAAAAATGTTCGAAAGAAAAAAAACTAAAATACATTTTCAACATTTTAATACATATTTTGTTGCTTGAATAGATCACAAACAGAATTTGACAACAATTAGGAACATTGTATTATTTATGACAGATTTATGTCCTTGACATTAATCTAGTCAGAATCCTATGTTACTGACCTTGTCATGCAATTCCCAGGGGAGCTTCTTGATTGACAAGTGCCCCGCCCCTTTCTGTGGAATCACCCCAATGAAGTCATGTGATTTCAGTCACATGACATCTATGTTAAAATTATAGTAAAAGTCCTGTTGACTAAATTTTATTAGCACAGGAAATAAACACACTGGAGCTTAGGTGTCCCAGATTACCTGAATTCACCCTACTATGTTCTCAGAATTGCGAGTTTAGGCTATATCTCACAAGTCTGACTTTATAACTCGTAATTGCGAGTTTATATCTCACAATTCTGAGAAAAAAGTCAGAATTGCGAGATATAAACTCGCAATTGCGAGAAAAAAAGTCAGAATTGTGAGTTTATATCTCGCAGTTCTGACTTTATTTCTCAGAATTGCGACTTTATGTCTTGCAATTGCGAGTTTATATCACGCATTTCTGACTTTATTTCTCAGAATTGCAAGTTTATATCTCTCAATTATGACTTTTTAACTCGCAATTGCGAGTTTATATCATGCAATTCTGAGAAAAAAAAGTCAGAATTGTGAGATAAAAAGTCGCAATTACCTCTTTTATTTTTTATTCAGTGGCGGAAACGGGCTTCCATACCGGCCAGTTAGGTGATTTCGACAAACTTTCATTGATTCAAAGCGCTGATGAGGTAATAAACTGTTCAACGAAAGCACCTATTTGCTGGTTTGCCATTCGCCAAAAACACTTAAGAAGAAGAAGAAATTGTTCAGCGAAATCGAGAACCTGAGTCTAACTGCTATACTTAACTGCAGTTTATAGTGTAGCCTATATAGGCTACGTATAGAGTTCTTTGGAGGGCTAAATGTAAACAACCAAGCGACTTATTTTTTTCTTCTTCTGTGCACCATTAAAGAGAATCCTGCTTTGTATTCGATATGCGCTGTGTTTTTATTAGTCTGCTTTCAAAAGAACAATTGCAGATATAGGCCTATAAGAAATTACACAAATAGGCTATAGCCTAGCCTACTATGCGGACTATTACAGGAGATCACATTCACAAGTCTGTGTTTCATGTCTGATAGAAAAAAGAGGATGTTTGGTGAGAGGGCACGTTTAAAATTCTGCTGTTGTAATGTCAGACGAGCATGATTAGCCAATGTAAAAATCACATTGACGTCAGTGAATTGATGAATGTTGAAATGTTTTTTTTTTTCACTACTAGAGAAGAAATATCTATATAAAATAACCTACCAACTCATTTAGTTAAATATGTTTTTTTTGCGTACATTGTAATGTATAGGGATTTATTATGTTATTCTAACTATTCATCCATGTTTTTATACAGCCTATTCTTTTAAAATGTTTATTAAAAGCAAATGTTCACCATGATAGAATTTCCTCTAGACAATTATTGATAAAAACATTACATTATTGACGATGCTCATACCTTCAGTTAACCTATTGTAATGTTATTATAGCCTATTAAATGTATTTTCAAAAACATATATGTTTGACAGCAGTAGCCTGATATAAAAGTACCCTTCCTTAGAATAATGTAATGAACCAACATAGGTTTAGTATACAAAATTAAATTATTTTCTCTAAAAGGACTTACCTAGGGCTCCTAAAAGCAGCACTATGGTACTCAGCAGAAAAGCCATGTGTCTACTCAAATGTATTAAGTGATTATTAGGATCAAAAATGCTAAAACTTTTTCACATGTATCTCCGACTTGAAATAAATTGTATCCCAACCCAGGCTTCCTTTTATTTACCACAGTAGATTTCAACATTTCCTGCACAGTCTTCTATCCTTCTTTCCTGTCATCCTTCCCCTTTAGAACTTAGAAGTTTGGCTTCAGATTGTTCTGAATATTTACCTCAATAATAAGCTTAAAAAAAAAACAATGTCATATATTAAAGGGGTCATACAATGCTGCTAAAAATAACATTATTTTGTGTATTTGGTGTAATGAAATGTGTATTTCTAGTCGTGTCCTCTTTTGGAAGGCCAAACAAAGTAGTTTCGCTTTCACAACGAAAAACACAGCGGCCTAGCGGAAGCCCCGGCTTAGCGTGAGCTGAGGCCGGGCAAGAGAGAGCAGAGGCGGCGGGGTCGAGAACGGCGCAGCCGGCGGATCCGAAAGAAGGAGCGGCAAGCACATGTGACGACCCCGGGCTTCGGCCATGGTGAAAGCAGATCCGGCGATCCACAGCACTAAGTTGATGTATTTCCTCAGCGACCAGCACAGATCAGCTCTAGGCATGACGAAGCGGATATCGTCCTCTTTTGGAAGACCAAAGTAGTTTCGCTTTCACAACGAAACGCACATCGTCTTCAGGACATGGCGGCAGCGGCAACAATACTACAGTGAGAATAAAAGTTATGCCTTCTTTCTTTGCGTGAACATTTGGCCGGCGTTATGCAAATCTTCCCACATAGTGAGGTAGATATGTGGGGGCGTGTTCGAACGAGCCGTTTTAGGTAGGTGTGGCTGACTCTTAACTTTTATAAAGAATATCTCTTTGGATTTGAGACTTTAGTCTTTGCAACTTTACAGATCTTCTTTATGCACCAAGAGCTTGTAACACTCCAAAGAGAAAGGAAAAATTTAAATCACATCATATGACCCCTTTAATCAGATAATTGTTTTAACGTTAAATTATGTGATGTTTGGTATAAAATAAATATGTTTCCTTTCTAAAACCCAGCAATATTTCACGAATAAACGAAATGTAGATTAACAAAATGTAAATTTAGATTTGTATTCAGAACTCAAGCCTTCATTTGCAGTTGAGTAATAGCCTAATTATTTGTTCAACATTGTCAACGCCTGTTCCTGAAATCCGTGACTAGATGGCGCTAGTTGACTAGGTTTGTGCCTAAACTATGTCGTTCATAAATTACTGGGCCTGAATGGTTTTACACAAATTAATAGGCCTAATTTATTTTTTCTTACATTTCTTGGCGTGAAAGAAAAAAAGTGTATTTATGTGAACAGTTGAAATTTGACTCATATTAAAGGGGTCATATGATGCTGCTAAAAAGAACATTATTTTGTGTATTTGGTGTAATGAAATGTGTTTATGCGGTTTAAGGTTAAAAAAACACATTATTTTCCACATACTGTACATTATTGTTTCTCCTCTATGCCCCGCCTTTCTGAAACGCGTCGATTTTTACAAAGCTCATCGGTCTGAAAAGCGAGGTGTGCTCTGATTGGCCAGCTATCCAGTGCGTTGTGATTGGCCGAATTCCTCAAGCGTGTGACGGAAAGGTTACGTTCCTTACCATATTGTGATGTAACACTCCAAAGAGAAAGGACAATTTGAAATCGCATCATATGACCCCTTTAATAGGGTGATGTGTAAACAGTTCAGTTTTCCAGTTCATACCGACTCATATGGCCAGTTTAAACTGGTATTTTCTTTGGAACGTGGTCGCTCGTTTCTTGTTTGTGCAAACTGGTAGCCTACAGACAGACAAAAGGAATTCCAACCGCCAATTCTATAGCTTTTTCAACAGGACACCTTTCCTCAGCTCAGTGCTAAAGTTTTTCTATGTCTGAATTGTTTTTATCACTTCTTTTGTAATTTGTTTGTCTATGTTCCTCCTCCCGGGAGCAGTCATGAGACGTTTAGTTAGGTTTCAACACAGCCTATTATGCAAGTTTTCTCCGTAGTCTTGTTTACTGTACTCTTTAACGTCTCAAATGTCACTTCAGTCTACAGTGATTGACTTCTATGAATTCAAGTGTTTTTCCTTTCTCCAATAACACCTAGACCTGTTTTTATATAGCCTATCATTTTTCTTTAAAGCGCTTTGATTTACTCCTGTAATCTTTGTGATTAATGATTAAATATTTATTCATTATAAATAAATAAAAGCGGACTATTTTATTTTGGACGTGTTCTCACCTTGTATAGGACTTAATCCATCAGTGATGACTAAACTGCTATAGCTCCTATAATATGTATATATAGCTAAATGTGGCCCTAAAAATTATTTGGATAATTAAGTCTATTTTATTTGTACTTATTTTAAATGATACATGATAGAATTTAACAAAAATCTAACCAAGTAACATTTATTTTGAAGAAAGTTAGCAAAACTATACATTTTTAAGTTACACATTTCCCAATAAGTTTTTTTTAGAATCAAAATGATTTAAAAAAAAATACTGTTGTGATAACATTCAAATAAGTGTCCAAAAGTGTTTAAATGCTATATTGGGTGCCATTGTATGTAATAAACATGTTTATATATTTGTAAAAAAAAAAAACTTTATATAGGCTATGCATCAGCTTCACTGATCCTTTTAAATTATATTTATTTCTATTATTTATAACTGCTCTAAAGCAAGGACACTACTCTCGTTTACCTATGACATTCATTTAATTTCTTTTTCATTCACATACATCCGATGTCACCTCATCATGGGATGTCAAATTCTTAAGCTCTGCATTAATAACACATACCTGCTTTAATAATTGGACCTATTACCTACTTACCATATTATTGCATATTGCACACTTCTAATATGCATCACTGCATTTTATAATTTTTTTAAATAGTAAATTTGCCATACTTTTTGACAGCAATTTATTTATTTAGCTATTTTTGACCTTTAGGTGTTTTATGCATTGCCACTGCTCCATGACACATTCCTGTACTCGGGTCCAACTGGGTGATGGGTAACGCTTGACCTCATAATTTCCAGCTGTATGATCTTTCTATGGGGCATGTTGTTGTGAAGCTATCGCATGATTTTCCATGTTGTAGTACAAACATAACGTAGATGCAAGCTTGTTGATCGCGGTCCTGAGAGTCGACGTGTACATGTTTCCTCTCTCCAATTGGTCACCATCGATATCGACGTAGTGCCGTAGGCGTGTCACTGTGCAAGAACACAAACTTTAAAGAGTTGACAACAACAGGGGTCTCAAGACAAAGACAACCCCAGACTGAATAAAGAACTGCACGCGAAGATATACTGAAAACTTCTACACTGAAAAGCTACGGCTTTGTTTTAATCTCTGACAACATACAACGTTTTAGTTTTGAGCTCGGATATTTAGATCTTCCAAGATGAAGTTTGTAAGGTATATAATGAGGAATGCTGCTATGCTAAATGCACCAAAGCATATTGATTACTACGCGAAATTTTCTCCATCGCCGTTGTCAATGAAGCAGTTTCTGGATTTCGGTAAGTTTAAACATTTTAAAGCAAAATATTTTTGCATGCAATATTGTCATTCCAAGGATGATGGTGCACACCGAGCATGTGTATTGCACAAACACATTCGATAATCTTTTTATGAAACGATTTGTATTGGCTTATTCATGTAGAAATTGCAGAACAAGAAATGCGAATGTTCGCTCAGACAGAATGTAGCCTACTTTAAAGCTCGAGTTTTCTGGATGGCGTAACCATAGTAACAGTATCTTCGGACTGCCATTATTTGCAGCTTTAGCCTGTTATATTTACACAGCCTTTGTACACAACAAGTGTAGTGTTTTATTTACAAAAAAAAGTCTTTAAGGTTAGCTCATGGTGCTATAAGGACGCCAAAATATTAGTGCACGTAACGAACCTAAGCAGAAACTTGTAAGCCATTCAGTAAAATCCTGTTTGCTCGAGTCCTATGTTTGTTTTTCCTTAATATTTGAGTTTTGGTTCAACTGTATTGCAGCAAAGTGGGCATTCAGCTGAGATTTCAGACTGTCGCGTTGTCTTTTCAGGATCCACAAATGCGTGCGAGAAAACATCCTTCGCTTTCCTCAGACAAGAGCTCCCCGTCAGACTAAGCAGCAGTCTGAAGGAGATCAACCTTTTACCAGACCAACTGATAATGACTCAGTCCGTTCAGCTAGTTCACAGCTGGTAAGTTCATGCCCTGGGTCATCAGGCTAAAAAAGGTGCCTGTTAACTAACTTTTGAAAAGTCCCATCTGTCTTGTAGTTTGAGTAAACAGACGCAAACGAACAAGATAAATGAGCCCGGTCTCATGAAAATGCGTATAAATAGTACGCCAAATAAAAACGAAAACTCGTGGTATTGATACGCACAAATGGACTTTGGCGTGCATATGATACGCATGTGTTTGGCGTGCATATAATGCGCAGTTTTCGCGTGCATATGATACGAAATTTGTTGGCGTGCATATGATACGCAGTTTTCACGTACATATGATACGCATCTACCCCACAACCCTAAACCTACCCATCGCCTAGCACATACACGCCAAAGTACATTTTTGCGTATCAATGCCACGAGTTTTCGTTTTTATTCGGCATACTATTTATACGCATTTCCATGAGATTGGGTGCATTATCTAATACATTGCTGAACATACTCATCATCATTAAAATTGTTTATTTTACACGCGTGCATTATGTAGTCTGTCGCACGCCTCCTAACTGAACGATGAACTTTGCCCCAGTTCCTCAGCCTGATGTTTTCCAAGTAGAAGCCACTACTACTGTACATTACACACTCAGCAGTTTAAAGTTCAGAATCAAGCTTCATCCGGTTTCCATTAGGCTACAACTTGCATTTTAGGATCCAAGTTGTAGCCTAATCTTATAGGAATCATCACATTACTTCTTACCATTGCACTTCTTATCCTTATTAACTTTCTATGGTAGTTTATAGTGTGGGGTTCTGGACCATGTGAAATCAAGTTGTGGTGTAAAACATTTTTAAAAACGTGCATGCAAATGCTTGCTCACGAGCCTATGGAATGTAGTTTGAAATACCGTTGCAGACCCTCACTTGTTTACTAGACTGCGGGAACGTTTATGTAACGGATACTGCGGTTCACTTCAGAAAGTGAAATATGAGACGGTGCGGCGTAGCGGTGGCACGCAGACTTGTTTTCGAGAACTGACTTGTAGTGTTGCTTTCGTCAACGAAAATTATGACTAAATATCGTCGTCAACGAACCTTTATCACGTGACGAAAACGAGACGAGACGCAACGTAAATGCTGGTCATGTGACGATTACTATAATTAAATGTATAATGCAATATTGTTGACGATTAAAAACGAAGACTAAATGTGGTTTACAAAATAAAAACTATGCTAGAATGTCTCAAAAACTAAAATGACAGCTTCACACAAAGACTAGACTAAAACTAAAATTAAAACAGGCTGCCAAAAACAACACTACTGACTTGGAACAGTACGTTCTAGTGTACTCGAGCAGAACAGCAAGGAGAGAAACTCAGGGAAATAAGCAGTTAACATTTAAAAAAACAAAACAAATGAGGAAATCTATAGTTTATATTAATAGCTAATATATTTAAAATAATTACCTGAAATAATTATGTAGTATAAAATATTTATATATAGGCTATATATCAATAAATATTTTAATTAGCTTTTGTAATTTTTCATTTTAATTTTAGCTTTACTAATTGTTATGTGCTTTTGTAACACTTTATAAGTTTAAAATTTTAATCTAATGTTTATATTTTTATTTTTAACTATTTTAATACTGAAAACAATTTTTAATAGCTTTAATTTACTTTAGTTTATTTCAATTTCAGATTTAGTTTGAATCATTTTAGTACTTAAACGTATTTAAATTCCTTGCCTAGGCAACATTTAAATTTAAGTTTTTAAGTTTAAATATTTTTATTTATTTATTATATTTTTCATTTTATTTCAGATTTATTTTAACACGGAAAACAATTTTTAATAGTATTAGATAATTTAGTCAGTTTATTATTTATTTATTATTATTATTTTATTATTTATTTATTTGTTATTTAATTATAAATTAATATGATTTATTTATTATTTTATTTATTTACAGTTTATATATTTATTATTTTTATTTCAGATATAGTTTTAGTAATTTTAGTAATTAAATGTATTTACGTTCTTTGCCAAGGAATTAAAAAATTTTTTTTTAATTTTTAATAATTGCGTTTTTAAATTTTATATTTCAAAACCAAAAAATAGTTTTTTAACAACACTGATAAATGCTTAAAAATTGTAAATCTTTCCTGCAAGCGTGAAAACAATTTAGGTTGAGGGTGTTATTGGAGATGAAAAAGTCTAATTGTAACTTTGCAGTGGCATTAATTAAAAAAAACAAAAAAAAACATGAATTTTTCATGTTTTTTCAATCTTTCATTCCCTTTGTCTTCTCTCTTACTTTCTCAGGTTTGTCCAAAGCCTGTTGGATATCCTAGAATTCCAAGACATGAGTCCCGATGACCCTAAAGTTCTTGCTGAGTAGGTTCTTCAATCTACATACATCATCTATCAGAAGAAGTATTATTAAAAAGTACAAAACAGCAGGATTCATGGAGTTGTTTTGCTGTTTGTCTCCAAAGATTTGTAGACACTCTGGTGAGCATCAGGAACAGGCACAATGATGTGGTACCCACCATGGCCCAAGGTGTCGTCGAGTATAGGGATGCGTTTGGGGCAGATCCTGTGACATGTCAGAACATTCAGTACTTTCTGGACCGCTTTTACATGAACCGCATCTCCATTCGCATGCTCATCAACCAGCACAGTAAGTCAATCTGGTCCTAAATCTAAATCTGTGCTAGTCCTAATACCTGGACTTGGCATCAGTAGTCGCTTTCTCAGCACTTACAGGTCATTAGATCTTGAATAATCCGGCCTGCTCTAGTTAATTATTCACTGGATATGAGAGAATGATTAGCTTGCAGTACACCTCTAACCCTCTGTTCCCTTTTATTTCCTGCTCTATCTTTAGCTCTGATCTTTGATGGCTCCACACATCCAGGACATCCCAGCAGCATCGGGTGCATTGACTCCTGCTGTGACGTCACAAATGTAATCAGAGGTGAGTGCTCTAGTGCACACTGTTATCAACTGGGGAAGCAAATATTACCTTAGTGACAAATGCAAATTCATTACTAACATCCTGTGTTCTGCTTCAGATGCATATGAGTGTGCTAAAATGCTCTGTGAGCAGTATTACCTCGGATCCCCCGAGCTGGAGCTTAGAGAGATAAACGGTGAGGAATCAAATGCATTCTCCAGATGGTTTTGGGCCTCTTTAAATCATTTCAATTTTGTCCGCAAACCGCATTATATTTTATAATGTTTGTTCTCTGTTGCAGCAAAGAACAAGTCACAGCCAATCGAGATATCCTATGTTCCTTCTCATCTCTACCACATGGTTTTTGAGCTCTTCAAGGTAGGCATGGTGCTTTATTTCTGCATAAATCAGACGCATATGGAATGATAATCCGATTTAGATTATAAATAAGTTATTCTTACATCTCTTCCACTCTAGAACGCAATGAGGGCTACTATTGAGAATCATGAAACAAGCAGCACCTTGCCACCGATCAAAGTCATGGTTGCTCTAGGTGGAGAGGACCTGTCAGTCAAGGTAAATGAAAGCTCAAATATGATCATTTTAGAGAACTTTGGCAGCGAGAATAGAGTATCTTTAACTTATAAAACCCTTAACTAGAATATGAGGTCACACCACAACCACCGCCTTGATTGAACCATTATTCTCAACCACCGGTTCCTTCCTCACACTGTAACATCGCCCTAGATTCACCGATAACTGATAATAATGTTATATAAACTGACCTAAAGATTAATATTCTAACCACCCTTGATCGAGATCATTTGTTGCCATGAACGGAAACCAGCTCTGACTGGTATTAACTGTTAATACTGTTAACCTTTGCCCTGCTGGAGGCTAAAGCGTGCAACAAAGCAGACATTGAACTGCAATGCTACTGTATATCCATGCAGTAACAGTGTTTGCAAGATTATATTTATCTTCTTACACATACACACAACAGTCTATCCCTCAGTCTTAGTCAATACATATTTAATACATAACCCACACATATTTATCATCTGATGTAATGCAGCAGATCATTGTTCTCTAAACATTCACGTTTCATGTTCCAGATCTGTGACAGGGGCGGTGGCGTTCCTTTCAGGAAGATTGATAGACTTTTTAGCTACATGTATTCAACAGCGCCCAGACCTACTATTGGTGACCATCAGCGTACCCCAATGGTAAGAGCATAGGACACTACATAACAGCAGGTGCATATGTTTTCATATAAAACGGAAAGTCAAACCTGCCTGTTGTTCCCTCAGGCTGGCTTTGGTTACGGCCTTCCCATCTCCCGCCTGTATGCACGATACTTCCAAGGTGATCTCCAGCTTTATCCAATGGAGGGCTATGGTACAGATGCTGTAATTCAGCTGAAGGTAAAGAGATCCTCAAAAGGGTTAGTTTGCATAAAAACGAATCCTCATGTTGTTCCAAACCTATATGAGATTTATGCTCAGTTATCATTACATGGGCAGCATCATCAACATTATGCTAAACTTCTCGTTTTTTGTTCCTCAAAAGAAAGAAAGTCATATGGGCTTGGAACAATGAGTAAACCACGACTTTGCACTTTTAGGCGAAATTTTAAACAAACAAGAAGTTGGCAAATCATAATGAGAGTTTTGCTTACACTAACCTTATCTGTTGAGTTTGTTGACATCCTGTCAACTTTGGACATTACGTCTGTCAGTCTTCAAATCATTAATCCACAGTCTTCTTCCCGCAGGCCCTGTCTACAGATTCAGTAGAGAAGCTTCCCGTGTTCAATCAAACCGCCTTGCGCCATTACAAATTCAACCAGGAAGCTGATGACTGGTGCGTCCCGAGCAAAGAGCCGCTGAACTTAGCTGCGTACAAGGCTGCAAAGTGAAACACCGGAAGCTGGTTGCCTTAAAGTCATGACAAAGGCCTTCAAGAGATTGCCAAGATAGGCTGCCATTGTGAATGTTCGCATTTGGGGACCAGTGACAGCATTTCCCAATGCTCTTTGAGTACTGTTGTCTGGGAACACTTAAACTGCATGTAACCAGAATTTAAGATACCAAACAGTAGATTCCTTGGTAAAAAACAAGTTATTTCTGTGGTGCTGCTGAAGTTGGTGTGTTTCAGCAAAAGCTCAGGGATGAAGAGTCCTGTGCGAGTGTTAAGGCCTGGAGGGGTGAGAGGTGATTAGATGCACGTGAACCTGATTGAAGCGGAGTTAAGTCTAAAAACAGGTGGAGAGAAGTGTATGTATTGCAAAGAAATAAATACTGAAGGCAGAAAAAATGTAGCTGGGATGAGAAGTGAGACCGCGAGACATTTCAGAGGTCAGAAAGGGTGTATGAATTGTGAGAAGTGTCAAAATAAGGAAGATGTGGCCAAAGATGTATTTTTCCTCTCTAAAGAGGCTGGACATACTTGATGTGTGATCAACACTTACAATTTAAGAAAAAACATTTATGTAAGCATTTATTCATAGCACTGTACGGTTGTGTTTCGTTGCATAATGAATGACCACAAGATGTGTATACTCAAAGTTGTGTTCACAATATTTATCACTGTTAAAAGGACCCTTGTTGTTTGAGTTTTTAATATGAATGAAATAAATCTAATATTTTCTCATCAATACTGATAAGCTGTATTATTGTAAACAGAGTATTCCAGTGAAATACCATAAATAACGCACATGTAATTGTGTAATTGAGAACATGATGTACTGGGTGAATGTGAACCCAGTAAGAAAACCATATAAAACAAGCTGATGAATCAGTGCAACATAGTGTTTCCCAGCCCTGTGCTTGAAGGAAATGCCTGTACCCTACACATTCTCATCAAACTCTTGTTAGCTGAGAAATGGATGGGTCAGAAAAGCACTAGTCCAAAATAAGCACCGTTTATGGAACAAAGTGGGGAAACGCTGTTTGCTACAGTCAGCATTCCCTTGTTTTAATGCCAGCACAACTTCCGGTGTCCCTTTCAGTTATTTTTGCTGTACAAAAACAGTTTGTTATGTTGCAAACTAATGTTTGAAATCATTTAAATTTATTACCATCATAATAAACACTTCTTGGTAGCACAAACAGTTTTACAGTATACTTCACTGTTCTTGTAGATAGCCATTTACGTAGCTATAGCGGCTAATGCACCGGAAGTCCAGCACATTCACAGGAAATTAGACTACATTAGAAAACAAATCTGCCCATTTTTGGCATTAATCTTAATCTCCATCTAATAGGCTACTATTATTAATACTGTGAAGAACCGATAGACATTTAAAGCTATAGCGCTGCTTGTTCTGGTGCAATGAGCATAATTAATCTTATAGGAGAATTTAAAAGTCATGGCCATCATGGCGTTAAAAAGTGAATTTAACAAGGCCATTTCTGTTCCACAAGCCTGATCAGAGTTCATAATGGTGTTTTGCCAGCAGGTCTTAATGCTCAAAACACGATGTAGCCTACGTGCTGTTCTCCTTCAGTCTACATGACCGGTTTATGGACTGTGATTAAGATTAAGCTGATGTATGTAAAATATAGTAGGCTACTTTGATTAGGCAGCTGGTTGCACTATGAGTAACTGTGGCAATCAGTCACGGCACTGTCATAAAATACACTCGGCTGGGACGTGAAAGGACACGATCCAGAATGCATCCATGCGTGCACCTTACACGCTTAAATCCAGCCTACAGATCTTCACAAGGCAAGGACCTGTTTTGTATGCCAAACAGATAGATGAAGAAGATGAAAAGATTGTCTGTATTGCATTCCAAAAACTTTGACTTTAGAGTTTGGCTGGTCACATTTCTGAACTAGTGTGGTTTAAATGGTCTAAATGAATTAATCTGGTTTGGATATGGTCTTAAAATGAACCTTAACTAAAGTGATGCACATTGCCTAGAAAAACAACAACAAAGGCACGGCTTTTAGGGATTAATGTGATTATTTTGAACATTTATAACATGATAGAGATAAGTTGGTCAATATTTACGCAGGAAAACCTACAAATTAAATGTGACGAGAAAAAGAAAATATTGGGTATTTACTGATCCATTCATAACGCATCATATGGTTACTGTCAAAACCTTGACTCAATGCTGCACCCTACTGAGTGCAAGTGGAACTGCCAGCCAAAGTTATAAGAAAACAGGACATTTTATAAAATGACTGTTATATTTTTATTGTTAGGTAATATAAACCCCCCCAGCATATTATAAAACAATTAAAAAATAGTTAGTTTAGGAAAAGACAGACAATATTTTTTACATAAAGTGTTTTTTATGATAAAATCAGCCTCGATTAGTTTTTTCTATAAAATTCAAGCAGTTAATGAATTCACTAAATCGTCCAGTGTTAAAAAAGCACAGCTATATGTAGATTAATGCACATAGGGTGTCAGAATAAACAGTTAAAATAAACAGTTAATTGCTTTTTTGACCCATGACTGCAGTTAGTCATTTTAACATTTTAAACACTGACTGAAACCCCTGAGACAAGACATTCTAAATGCAATGGAAATTGCATTACAGTTTGTATTAGTAACAATCAATGAATGTCTGTTGATGATGGTGGTAGATCAAGAGGACACCAGTTTCTCACAGATCCAGGGCAAGGACATGTAGCAGGGCGCGTCATACCAGCTCTTTATAGCCACACGGCTTAACACATCTGTTTTTATCATGTAGCCACAGTCTTCATTAATATGGTTGTTGGGCTCGCCATCTTCCCAGAAACTATGGAGGAAAAAGAAGGGTGTTTCTGGGGGTTCAATAGTCCCAGTAAGACAGCCTGGTTTCCTTAGGATATATAGGCTTTTAACCAGTGGAAGTAGCATCATTTTTTAAATAACAATGGCAAAATAAAGTGAGGCTAAAATATGTTTAATATACTAAGGTTAATGGCATTTCTCTTATTTCATGATTAGTGGTTTTTCTTAAGTTTTTAAAAGGGACATTGCATTTGAGATGTTTTTTATTCACTGTACAAGTCCACTTAATGTTAGTTAATGTTTCATGCACTCAAAACAGTTGTAATTTTATTTTTATATAACCATTTCCTACCCTCATTAATTTTTATAATACATTAATCAGGCTGTGATAAGACGTAAAAGAAAAATAATGTTTTATTTAAAGGAGACATATTATGCCCCTTTTTACATTACAGCTCGGACCTGCTAAAAACGTCTGTTTTGGTTCTGATTATCATGTTTATCGCGCTGAGATCATGCGTTTTAAACCATATGAGTTTAAACTTCTGATATATGGTTTTCTGAGCGCATACATCCGAAGCACACGGACAGAAAGCGGCTGTCACAGCATACTAAACAGTTCTCATTCACACACAAGTTTACGTTAAAAATACATGAGTTACAAAAACAGTCGGTTATGTCTGTGAAGGTAAAGTTACAAAAACAGTCGGTTATGTCTGTGAAGGTAAACAGCTGGGAAATAAATCGCATGTTTATTTTAATCTGTGTATCAGCAGCAATATACAGTAAATAAATCAATAAATCCACTGCTCTGTTGTCTCCTCTGAGGCTGGGACTCTAAACAGTGTTCTGTGCTCGTCTGTGCAGACAAAGACAGAACAGTTAGCATGTTTTGCTCAAACTTTCGCCATGGCATTAGAGCTGGTACACCGTTGTTACTTGCGAAATCAAATGACGGCACTGTGGGTGTAAACTTACAGATTAAGGGGTGGTAATATTATAATGAGATCCCTTTGCCACGTCACCAAGGGAGCGAAATCAGATGCGATCGTTTTCTCAGACGCTTGCAGAAAAAGGCTTACATAAACAAAGTTACTAGGTTAATCTTTTTCACGTTTCCTTGGTTGGTAGATGCACCAGGGACCTGATTATAGCACTTAAAACCTGGAAAAGCCAGATTTTCATGATATGTCGTCACCTTTAATATTTTCCCTATAATAATTATATATGTAAAGGGTAAAATATCAATTTCTTATTCCCTAGTAGTCACTAACATATGAATTTCAAATGACCATTAACACTGAAAATATATAAATGATTTTGAGGATATAAGAAAAATATTTTACGCAAGATCCCTTTTTTTTTTCTTTTTAAAAAGGAAGAACAGACAAGAAGGATGAGATGATTCAGTGTATCACCACAAGACCTCTATCCAAAAGAGAAATGAAAAAATATGATTCAGTAGTTTTAACTCCATGTGAGATGCATCATAACACTGAAGTGTTTACAAGACTCCATATGGATCTGACTTCCAGCACTAGAGTTTTATCTTGTAAAGATTTAAATTTGATATTCTTACCCTCCAACTAGTTTAGTTCCGTCCACCCAGTACCAGTCTTCTTCTACTTTTTCATCACTTATGCCAAACCAGTAAGCGTTCCAGTATCCACGGGGCAGCAGGTTCCATATGAACGTCTTCATCAAGTCAAAAGATCAAATATCATTAAAATCAGTCAAAACAACTTTCAGAATCCTTTGTAATGGCTCACATTTCAACTAAGATCCCTTCCTCTTTTCTATATTCTTGGCCAATAGTTGCTGTTCTTTTTACACAGCTATTGATGTCTAAGGTCAGTGTTACTTGAGGCCATTAGATATGCAGCAAATATATCTGCACACACACACACTCTATGACATAAATGCAAATGAAAGGGCAGTCCTTACCTGTTCCTCAGCTGTGAGGATGATGGCCAGATGTCCTCCTTGCCGCTTGCAGTACGCCTGACTGTCCGACCAACTCCTTCGGTATTCTGAGACGTAGTAACAGCTGCCGTTAAAGTGCTTCCAGTCTTCAGGACAGGGACTCTTTGTTGGCAATGGAGTGGTTTGTGCTGCAGGGGTTGCCTCTAAAAAGACCCAACATTTTAACGCTATGAAATGCAACAGATATTGTTTGTTGATCGCACAAATGCATGCACTTGCACCTCACTAACCAAGCTCAGCGATTCTGTTTTTCAACTGCATCCGTTCTTTCTCCAGTTCACTCTTTTCTTTCTTCACAGCCTGCAGCTCTTCAGTCAGAGCAGATACGTTAGCGCTGCCCTTCTGCATGTGTGATTCAGCAGCGCTGGACGGGGAATCCTGATCAGATGAATGTGCCTTACCTAAAACACAAGAAAAAAACGAAAGCAGAAGTGTGTTAACGATAGGGTATAAAAAGAAATGGGATTTCAAGAGATAAAAATAGAAAGATTACGATTATAACTTAAGCTTAAAACGGACGTTAAAACTAATTTTCTAAGAATTTGACATTCACTAAAAAGAAAATTGGTGTCGGAATAATTTTCACTTAGAAAATGCTGGTAAATTTCACAATTAATTAGAAAGAAACTGAAAGTAATGCATCAAATTTAACATTACATTTTAAAGTAAAGACTTAATAGTCTTCTATAGTAAAAGTTTTTCTATGTTTACTTTAATAATTTACAGGTTTTTTTTTTTTAAACAAGAACTGTAGGTTTTTAGCAACTGTGTCATTTTTTACATTTTTGATTGAACATTTCCATAATGCATCAAGTTCAGATGAAAGTTCAGATGAAATAGCTGATGAAAGAGAATGTTTCATATATAAGCAAAATGGGCATCGTTACTGAATCAAATTGGAATTCTTGTGAATCAGAATTGATTCAAATCAAATTGAATCTGGAAATGTGTTTTAATGTCCAGACCTGTTAATAAACACACTCACACTAAAGTCATGTAAGTGAGAAATGAGAAGTACCGCTGTGAACACTTGTGACCACCAGGATCATGAGTAAGATGAGGCAGAAGGCAGTCAGGCATGCTGTTGCCACCTTGAAGGGATCTTGGCAAAATTGCTTTCTGCTTTTATCTGGGTTCTGCAATACTAGAAAGAAACGGATAAAACAACTGGATTTACAATATAACAACTGCATAAAAACTTGCAAGTCTAAATGCACAATTTTACAGTACACAATGGTAAATAAATGAGGCATGTTCACATAACATGTTTTGACAAGAAATATACAAGAAATGTAAACTTTAGAATGCTTTCTAAAATACATGTGGTCCATTTCAGTGAATCATTTACAGTTTTGTTTTTTTTTTGCCAGGTTAACTCAAACCCTGAGTATTGATCAGTATGCTATCCAATAATGGTGGATGGTTGTCAAGCTGGAGTTTCTAGCATAAAACCTCTTAAACATTTACACAACTGCAGCATCTGAGATTAAACATTTGTCCAAAAATGGAACGAACATTCATATTCAGCAATGTAATTATTTAAGAATCAACCATTAAAAAACACATGGTCAGATAGTGAATATCAGAGAGCACGCTTTTCATTTAATGTCTGTGATTTAACTCATTTAGCGTTTTCAAAGCATTTGCCAACACGTCCATGTATATATTTGATTAGGTAAAAAAATAACTAACAAATACAGCTAACTAACACAATAAAAACATGATAACATAACAGTTATCTGTTTTTGTAAATAAACTCTTCATATATATGTATATATATATATAATATATATATAATGCATACCCATTATTATTTACTGCCTTACAAGGATCGAAGATACACTGAAAAAATGTATACTACATTTTTTAAGGTAAGTGGTTGCAAGCAATTTATTTGAGCTACAGTTAAATTTTTTTTTTTGAAAGTTAGGCAACTAAATTTGTTTATTTAAATGTAGCTAAAATAAATTGATTGCAAACACTTACCTTAAAAAATTTTTAGTAAATTCAATTAATAATTTTTTTCAGTGTACATTACACACAATGTATCTGTAAACGTTAAGACAGCAAATGCTGTGATTGTCATACCTGAATATCGCACCTCTGGACTGCTGCAGTCATCGTCAGGTCCCTCGATGAGATTGGTGTGCATTCCCTCTCTGTTTGCAGACATTGCTCACGTTTGCACTTTCACAAAAATATGAAACGCACTGGAGTCTGTCTGTCCGCTGCAGTGCTTGCTCAACAGCAGGGGCGGTTTAAAACGAGATTGTGCTCGTGTGCTGAACAATGTGGATTGGTTAACATGAATTGGTTTGCTTAGTCAGAGAATGTCACGAGCAATTCCTCAAAAGTGCATTGAGTTTTTCTGTAGGCTAAACCAGCTGCTTATGACTCACCCTGACAGTGCTCATTGCACAATTTCATTTGTTTTAATAACGGATTACCCACTTGTTGCTTCATATTTATTGAGTGTTTTTTTTTTTAAAGGGCTCATATGATGCGATTTCAGTTCTTCCTTTCTCTTTGGAGTGTTACAAGCTCTTGGTGCATAAAGAAGATCTGTAAAGTTGCAAAGACTAAAGTCTCAAATCCAAAGAGATATTCTTTATCAAAGTTAAGAGTCAGCCACACCTACCTAAAACAGCTTCCCACGATGTGGGAAGATTTGCATAACGCCGCCCAAATGTTCACTCAAGAAAGAATGTGTAACTTTTATTCTCGCTGTAGTATTGTTGCTGCCGCCATGTCATGAAGGCGCTGTGTGTTTCATTGTGAAAGTGAAACTACTTTGTTTGGCCTTCCAAAAGAGGACGATATCCGCTTCGTCATGCCTAGAGCTGATCCGTGCTGGTCGCTGAGGAAATACATCAACTTCGCGCGGTGGATCACCGGATTGGCTTTCACCGTGGACGAAGCGGAGTCCAGCCCAGGGTCGTCAAATGTGGTTGCTGCAAGCCCGCCGGCCGCGCCGTTCTCAAGCCCACTCTCTCTCTAGCCCTCCGGCCTCCGCTCACTCTAGCCCGCCGTGTATTTCGTTGTGACAGTGAAACTACTTTGTTTGGTCTTCCAAAAGAGGACACGACTAGAAATCAGTGGTTAAGTTGTATTTACAACACTGCTCCAGAACAGTTTAACCCAAATATTCAGATGTGTCCAGCGCAGTTTATGGAGGACTGTTTCCTGATCCTGGGAGAGTAGACTACAATGCCGGCTGTTCTGACTCACAGACTGTAAGTACGTTTTAATTTAAAGAATTTGCCACTGATGATTCAAACTCGAGTTTTGAGCAGTGTAGAGTAGCACTTGTTTGTCATTTCTCCGATCACAAATGCAGACATGGTTTTATGTTTACGTGGCGCGATGCAACACAACGCATAAAAAGACAGTATAAGTCATTATAATCCATAATTATGTCCCCACTGGATGCAACGAATGCCTCGTTTATAATGGGTTTTAATGTTTTTGTCTCATCGCTCCGGCATCACAGTATGGTAAGGGGCGTAACCTCAAAAGTCCACCTCAAAAAAACAAAATTAAGGTTTTGGAGTGGCCAAGTCAAAGTCTGGACTTAAATCTGATTGAGATGCTGTGGCATGACCTTAAACAGTCCTTTCATGCTCGAAAACCCTCCAATGTGACTGAATAAAAACAATTCTGCAAAGAAGAGTGGAAACGTCGCAAATTATCGCAAACGCTTGATTGCAGTTGTTGCTACAAAGGGTGGCACAACCAGTTATTAGATTTAGGGGGCAATTACTTTTTCACGTAGGGCCAGGCAGGTTTGGACAGCTTTTTTCCCTTAATAAATTAAATCATTATTTCAAAACTGCATTTTGTATTTACTCAGGTTATCTTTGTGTAATATTAAAATTAGTTTGATGATCCGAATCTTTTAAGTGTGACAAATATGCAAAAAAAAAAAAATAAATAAAAAAAACAGGAAGGGGGCAAAAACTTTTTCACAGCACTGTATGTATTTGCATTTACTCAGACTGCTGTAATAGTAGTACTAGATAAACAATGTACAATTGATGAAACTTCCGTTTGTATTCAAAGCATCTGTACATGACTTTAGGTTTCTGACTTACCCAGAACAGACACCACAGCAACCTGCGAGGAAACGTAGCGGTTGGTCTTTGCATTGTAGGCCACACAGCTATAGTTCCCACTGTGTTTTTCCTCTACATTGGGGAGGGTAATGGCCGTGGTCATCTGAGGCATCTCCTCCCCACTAAACATCCACTGGAACTGAGCGGGAGGGTCAGACTGGGCTGAGCATGCAAGGGTTAAGTTAGAACCTTTCTTGAGGAATGAATCTGTTGGAGTTTGTGTCATGACGACTTTCTCTGGGCCATCTAGACAGACATGGGAGAAAGAGATGATTAAAGTGCTTGCAATGCAGCTATGTTTTATGGATTTTTTGATGAATTTAAGACTAGTCTTAAAACCCCCCAATCCATTTCAAAGACTTAACAAGAAATAACAAATTTTCACTAGAAGAACATCAAACGTTATGCCATGTTACAACATTTCACATCCCCAATTAATCAAGATATTGTAAATGGTATGTTTAAATGAGGAGCATGTATTTGAGTATCAGAATGTGGTTATAGTTTCAATTTAGGCCAATGAATCTTATTTCAAATATGTTTTTAGAAAACAATGATATTCTAAGACTCAAGAGACTGGTGCAGTGAATTTACTTTATGATCAAACAATGCACTTGCAGAACACAATTCCACCATTAATGGAAATCCATGATTTTCATTGGAATAGTTCAGGCAAAATTGAAAATTGTGGCAATATTTTTTTACATGCCTCCTGTTTTTTGTACCTTGTATTTTTGTTTTAAGGACTTTTAAGTTACTTCCTGTCTGGTGTGTTCTTGTAATCACTCAGTTTGTAGTTTTTCTGTTAATTAGCCTGTCATTGTTTTCAGGTGTTTCTTTCCATATTAGCCCTCTGTCTGTGTTTTCCCTTGTACCCGGTCAGTTGCTGTTACTTGAAACTTTGGTTTCAGTTCTGTTCTGTGTTCCTGGTTTTGGTTTGTTTTTACTTTGTGTTTTTGTACTTTTTTGGATCCCTGTTGCCTGCCCTTTTGTTTTGCCTTGCTTCACTTAATAAATCTTTACACTATTGAGCCACTATCTTGCTTACGTTTCTTGCCTGCCCGTGTACGTGTTATAGCTAGCTATTTGCATGATTTATTTTCAACATGAAAAAAATGAATATCTGATTTCATAACTGAGGAACAGACCGAATTTATAAGTCACTTTTTAAAACTGAAATTCTTCCCTATAACTTCATGTATCTTGAAAGACATGGTCACTATGAACTGTCACTGCAAGGAAAGTACTGCATAAACATAAAACACTTCATCATGTGGATTTGAAACAATATGATGCTGAGTGAATGACAATTTTTAGGTAAACGGTGTTCATGTATTCATGTCTCACACTAAGCCTGTGTGGGTGTGATCAGGTACGTACAGCTCACAGTGAGATTGAAGGGAGCGCTCCTCCCTGACTCCAGTGCATTTTCTGCAATGCAGAGGATGGGTCCTCGCAGATATGTACGGCAAACTTCAGCGATAGTTAGCTCATCACCGACTGTGTTTAGCCGCACACGCGTGCCATCAACAACCAAAGGGACTGAACCGTTCATCCACTTGTAAGTAAAGGAGCCTTTGGCAGAGCAGGAAAGAACCACAGTGCTGTTGAACTCTACAGCTTCAGGTAGATTGGACGAAATCTTGACGTCAGTTACAGGTTCTGGAGAAAAGAGAAGAAAACCATGGATTGGGTTGATTCAGAAACATCTTTGCTCCGTTCAACAACCTCTGGATAACCAACCCTGAGATTTGACAACATACATCTTACATCATGAAAGTCTCCTAGACAGATCTAAAATATCTTTATACGATTGATTTCCAGTCACTGAATGAATGTCTTTAAAATGAAGCATACTGCAAATCATATGTTTAAAGCAAGTCACAAAATGAGTCATCACTATTATCCATTTGGTTTGATTTAATCATATCATACCAAATTCTCTAAAACCAAATGCAAACTCCATATCCAAAATTAACCCACTGTTTTTTGTTTGTTATTCAGTGCGACTGTCTTAAAGAACTACTAAAAAGATTACATTTTGTATCCAACTAATGCTTTTAACAAATTTGTGCAGGACTTGAACCTTCAACCTTTCATTCTTCTTCAGACCTTCAAACACTAGGCTTCACCAACATGGTGTCTAGTCTGTAACGATACAGTATACCTGAAGATTGCACTGGATAGTCAATACTTACCAAGAACCTCAAGATCAATCTGTCCGGACAGTTGCTGTCCTTTGGTAGTGACTATATTGAGAATATATTCCCCTTCATCCTCCTTCACCAGCGGCCCGAGCTGAAGCTCACACGTCGTGTTATTGTAGACGATTCTGCTGGCGTATTTCTCATCAATGTTATCGGTGTTCAGTAATAGGATACTTGTAATTATCGGTGCAATTACTGGATCTTTGTTGAAATTCCATGTTACGGTTAGAAAATCCTGTGTTGAGGTGATTGTTGTCTTGAAGGTCACATTTTTACCTGGTTCAATAAGGTAAGGAGAAATCGAGATTAAAACACCCCTGCTAAGTTCTTAGAAATGTATCTAACATTTAATTAATAGCTTCATACATTTTAATTAATATTTTCATTTAATGACTTTTGATTTAATGAACAGATGGCGGCGCAACCATCCATTGAAAGTACTCAAGATACTATTCTTGCACCTTGAATACATGTGAGCAGTGTTGGGGAAAGTTACTTTTAAAAGTAATGCATTACAATATTGCGTTACTACATAAAAAAAGTAACTAATTTCGTTACTTAGTTACTTTTTATGGAAAGTAATGTGTTACGTTACTTTTGCGTTACTTTTTAAATCTGGACAGGGCTTGCTTGTTTGTTTTTAAAATAAAAAAGTTCTATTTTTGGCAAATATAAAAAGCCTTTTCACACCAAAAATGAAATAAATAAGCCTCAGGCTGAAGGGAAAGTTAATTTACGTCCGTACAGTAGAATGCAGAAGAAATTTCAACACACTTCAGCAATAAAAAAGACACAATGGGATTAAATGCATAAAGGATATTTGTGTTGTTTAACATTTAACTATTGTAGGTTTGCATCATATTCTGAGTTGCATTACTTTTATTCATTTTGAGGAATACTGAATCTGTGTTTTGTTTTGTTTTTGTGAGTGAGATGAATTAATGCATATTCATATTTATTTTAGAACTACAGTAACATCTTCTGATTTCTCTCAACATGGCGACAGGAGAGCTGTCAATCAATAAATTGGAAAAAAAAGTAACTTGCTTTACTTATTTGAAAAAGTAACTCAGATATTCTCTTGTAAATTAAAAAGTAATGCGTTACTTTACTAGTTACTTGAAAAAAGTAATCTGATTACATAACTCGCGTTACTTGTAATGCATTACCCCCAACACTGCATGTGAGTACACAACAGGTTTTCTTTTCACAGGACAACAAAATGGCTTTGTTATGCCACACTGACTTTGATTTGGCATACATTTTTTAAAAATAATAATGAACTAATAAATAACTGATCAAAATTATTTTGGATAACCATGGATAAACCATACATCGACTCACCGATAACACCGTTCGTTTTGTCGCTGAGAAGCGGATAGGCCTCGGAACAGCATCCTATAAGAGGAACGATTTTCAGTCAGACTTGATTTTAGTCAGGATAAACATAAAACCACACATTAGCCTACACATTATGTCCTTGTCTAGGCTACTGTTTAAAGTTTTAGAAATTAACATTTTAAAAATCTAAATGTGCTGAATAACATTTGTCCTTGATTTTAACTTACCAAGAGCAGCCAAAATGAGCAAAGGCAGCCTAAAGTTATAGAAATCCATACTATACGGAGAGATGCGAGTCCCTGAGTGACAGACAGGAACAGTGTGACTTCTCTGTAAGAACTTGAGAAAGTTAAACCCGCCCTGTTCAACCTGTACTCTTCTGATGCCATTCAGTAAAATAAAACATTATCCACTTTTACCACTAGATGAAGGCATACACAAGCTCCAGAACAGACAGAAAGCTCAGCCTTTCAATCTCACTCAAGACCACAGCAATGTTATGATTATGAATACATTTGCAGGGCCAAGAAATGCCTCCGACACAAACTTAGGAGAAAATACAACCAAACTGAAAGTCATATGACAGCGTTATGCGAGAAACAGACTGACATTTATGTAATTATTCATAGATAATCAGCTTTAATGTTAATAAAATGAAAATCATCAAACCTGCATACAGACTAATGTTTTTTTTAAAGCTTGAAATTCCAGAGTAATTCCTGTAAATATATATATATATATATATATATATATATATATAATAAAAATACAACAATTTGTGCATTGAGTGAGTGTAACTTATTTTTGTATTTAGTGTAACATTTATATTTGAGCCTTTTTATACCCATGTAGCAGATGTCATCCTGTTGTGTTTGACCCTGGTTGTTTTGATCAAATATGAAAGAGTGTATTTCAGGCTCAAGAATGCGAGGAGGTGATATCTCCAGAATTTATAAACACTGTCTTCATATCAGAGCCATCCCATCTGAAGGACAGATCAAGGGTTTATAAAGTACTACCATACCGTCATTATGACAAAGTTTCTGTGTCTGTTTTCATTATGGGAAGACAAGGAGGCACCAAAGTGTTCTCATATGATAGCCGACGAAGATACTGTCAGAAAGCACTGCTACAAAATAACTGAACAAAATGTAATTAAGAAAATGATGTGGTCACTTCATATGTTCATGTTTCAAAAATATACTAAATATAAGTTCTAAAGGGATGACAGTCATGCATCATGCATCATTATTACTATCGCTCATACTAAAGGATTAATTAAACTTTACTGACATAAAAATTTTGTCTTGAAATATTGATTTTGAAAATCATGTCGACATATTTTAATCAAGGTTTTAAAACGTTTAACCAAATGTCAAGTAGCAGGATTATTAGTTTATAGAAATATGTTCTTAAGGTCCATATAATGATAACAACCATAACAAAGTTTTATGAATCTTTCATACAGAAGAATATGTTTCAAAAATATACTAAATATAAGTTCTAAAGGGATGACAGTCATGCATCATGCATCATTATTACTATCGCTCATACTAAAGGATTAATTAAACTTTACTGACATAAAAATTTTGTCTTGAAATATTGATTTTGAAAATCATGTCGACATATTTTAATCAAGGTTTTAAAACGTTTAACCAAATGTCAAGTAGCATGATTATTAGTTTATAGAAATATGTTCTTAAGGCCCATATAATGATAACAACCATAAAGTTTTATGAATCTTTCATACAGAAGAATGATCAAGTTAAAATCGCTCTCAGAATGATTTTTCCAGCTCATGAACGATAAAACATTTACAGCCTAGTTTAATTCTTGAGTGTCAGTTTAAAAAAAGTTACACAGGGCTCCTTAGTGGACAAAAATATCCATGTCAAAGAACTGAAATTAAAATATTATATATTAATTTTTTTTTTCCACCAACATCTGTCCTGATCATAACTACCAAAATTAATTCATTTTCAGAATTTTAACCCTTTAAATGCCAGTTTGTTTACATAATGCAACTGTTGTTTTTATATCAAAAATCATCAATTATAATTGTTATATAATTAAGATTATTATGTTACTACAATCATAATTATTTTCAATATATTAAATGCTAAGCAGAATGTATTTTGGGTAATCGTTGACAAGTCAATGTTTACTGTAGCAACAACATTCATTTTGATGCATTATTATTTTTGTGCAGTGTCAGGTTAAAAAAAAATACATTATGCACACAAACATACTACCTACAGACAAAAATAAATACATACTGTAAAAGCACAAGTTACCGTTACAGTATAAAGCTTATGAATGAGACTAGCTTAGCTTTTGTGCTTCATAAATAATTATCATGAATGGTTATAGAAAAACCATACATTTCACCCATCTGACAACAACCAACCTCAACAGTGAAACAACTGATTGCTAAGTGCACAGCCTTTGTCTTTAATGGAAAGCTTCAAACTATAATGGACACAAGAGCAATCTATGACCATATTCGCTGTGAAAATAAATTAAGCTGTCTCATTCTAATGGAGGCTAACATTAGTCCCTCATGAAACATTGATTTAACCTCTCGACAATGGCCAAACAAATCGAAAGCCGTCTGGCATGTGGGCAGCGTAGCCTTTTGAAACTCAACTCGACTAAATGTCAGACCATACTTACCAATATGGGATTTTCCTGTCGCTGATTTGTCGCACTTTTGATCACTCAGAGATCTACATCTGTATGGAAAACATTGTTACTGGCATACGGGCTCTGCTTACTGTGACCTACAATATAAAACTGTGCCAAACCAAACTTTCAGTACTATATTAAGTGTTCTGCTTCTCACAAATAAACCACACTGTGCAGTTTGCAAGGCAGCAATGGCAGACCGAGGCCTGTGAGAAACGGTTTTGTGGGTAGCGGTGGAGGAAGTTACCATTTTGTGCAACAGATTCATAAACATAAGCTACTGGTTACACATTGAGATTATAAAATACCAAAGCTGCAAGTTATAAAATGACACTAATTTTTCTATAAACCAGCGTGAGGTTAAACAATTGTGGAATCATGTCAGATTTACTCAGTGAATCTTTCATGTGCTTTTAAAGCAAGGACCACAATGGAAATAAGTTACTGTAACTTTATTGTGTCATCCTTGACAAGAAGGTTGTAACCGTGTATTGCTACTTTTTGTGTCAAAAACTCAACAATTGCTAATTTAGAGAGACAGCTCACAGCTGACAAAAGTTTTAACCCTTTAAGTGCGCTATTTCTTGTATTTCTAATATATTATAATTTAGTGATGCATAAATTATTTAATATTCTGTAATTAAGTTTATTTAATTTTTTAATGCATTCATTATTTTTAATGCAATTATGGAATTATATCAGTTGTCAGCCAACATTAGTGATTTTTATATTTAATAACTTTTGCCATAATCTCATGCTAATTTAGAGAGTCAGCTCTAGATTATGACAAAAGATTTAACCCTTTAAGAGCACTATTTCTTGAAGTTGGGCAAGTAAATAAATAAATAAACAATACACTTTTATCCATGCTGCATACTATACAGTATATTGATGCTTAAATTCACTTTTATATTTTTTGATTGAAATTAAGTTAAAAAAAAATTTATTTACTAACATTTTTAATGTCATATACCTTTTTTAATATTAACTATTTATCAATTTCCTCACTATTAATTCGGCATGAAAAGGTGCTGTGCATGTATGAAAACTTAATTGCAAACCTTTGAGGATGAGTAAACAGTCACTAGGCGTCTCATTTCCAGAAGTCTAACTCTTCTGCCTTGACTCAACATTGATTAAATCTATTTTTATGGCATGAACTTCAATTAAACTCTTTTTTGTTAAAAAAACTCCATCTATGAAACATTTCAGTCAGGATTCAGAACTTTTCATATTACTGAGTTGACTTTATTAAAGGTGTTAAATGATACCTATATGGTAACTGACCAGGGTGATAGTATTGTATTGGTGCTGTTAGAAACCAGCGTGAGGTTAAACAATTGTGGAATCATGTCAGATTTACTCAGTGAATCTTTCATGTGCTTTTAAAGCAAGGACCACAATGGAAATAAGTTACTGTAACTTTATTGTGTCATCCTTGACAAGAAGGTTGTAACCGTGTATTGCTACTTTTTGTGTCAAAAACTCAACTCAACTTAAATGGTATGCAAATTTGGAACCATATTTGTCAGCCATTATTAATGATTTTTATTTATTTGTATAATAACTATTGCCGTAACCTAACGCTAAGAAAACTGAAATTATACTTTTTGGTCCCCCTAGTGGCATTCCCTTAAAATATCTGAGTAATCACTTTGTTTCATCCCAAGCCAAAACCCTTGTAAAAACTAAGGTGTTTTGCTTGACAGTGAGCTGAAACTTGATAGTCAAATAAATTATGTGGTTAAATCTTGTTTCTTTCATCTCCGTCTTCTCTCTAAAATCAAGCCATTCCTCTCTTTTCAAGACTTTGAGAGAATAATTCATGTTTTTATATTATCACGTTTAGATTACTGTAACTCACTGTATTGTGGAATGAATGCCACTACCTTGGCCCGTCTCCAGTTGGTCCAAAATGCATCAGCAAGACTCTTAATGGGCCCATGGAAATTTACCCATATCACTCCTGTCTTAACTTCTCTGCATTGGCTGCCTGTGCATTTTAGAGTGAAGTTTAAAATCCTTGTTTTTGTCTTTAAGTTTTTAAATAACTTAACTCCCTCATATTTATCCGAACTGCTTTTCTTACATAACCCCTCTCGAGCTCTTAGATCTAGTAGTCTTCGATTGCTCCTAGAGTTAAATTAAAGAAAAGGGGTGAACGTGCCTTTGCTGTTGTAGGCCCTAAACTCTGGAATAGCCTACCAGTTCATGTTAGATCTGCTCCTGCTTTACAGGTTTTTAAATCTCTACTCAAAACGCATTACTTTTCCATCGCTTTCAGTGTCCCTTGATGTTCTATCTCTGTATTCGATTTTTGATGACAATCCTGGTTTTATTTCTTATATTTTGTTATATCTTTTAAATGTTGACATAATTTGGTTTTTAGCTGAGATTTTATCTATCTATTTTTTTTTTTTTTTTAAAGTTCTATTTACTACTTATTTTATTTGATGCTGTAAAGCACATTGGTCAGCTGCTGCTGTTGTAAAAGGTGCTATATAAATAAATTAAACTTGAAACTTAAACATCAGTTCATGACCTGCTCCCCAACATCACCTTTTTATTTACCATATTACTCATCTTACAATATAGGACATAGGTGACTGTGGTGAAGTTGTTTCAGCTGAAAAATTACTGGTGTCAGTTTCCTGTGACAAATACACAACTATTTTGGAGTCGTACAACACAAATAACACATACCAGCTAAAATACGGCAAAGACGGAACACAAACGTGCTGTCATTAGGGTGTGAGTCATGGCTGCGCTAGGAAATATTACGCAATGGTCTCGAGAACCGTTGAAGGTATTTACCTTTCAAATGACTAGATTATACCTGCCATTTACATGACTGTGCAGTCGCCGTCTAGTACATATGATCACGACTGTGCTGTTTCACAAACAGTATTTATTTCTTTAGAATCCTTCACATTGCAATGCATATATCGTCAGACTATGACAATTCAAAATCATTTGACCACAAGATCAAGACTTTGATAATTCCACACTCTCCATGAATCACAGTCATTCCACACGATGCTTTCCAAAGAAAAGCAGGTTCTTTCAGAACCACTTCGCACATTTGATGCATGATGGTTGTTTTTGTTGCATGGTGGTCAAAAATTTTTGTTTTTTTCCCCCAAGTAAATGAATGTGCTATATTTTAGTTCATTTTTTATTTAATATTTTGTGTTTTAAGGGGATTTTATGGTGCTAAATTATGTTTATGCCTTATATATATACCTATTAACCACTTTTTAAGCATAGACCTGTTGTAAATATTGAATTTTAAATATTGCTGCGGAGCACAGACTTAAGTTCAGTCTCTCTCTCTCTCTTTTTTTTTAAAGAAGGCACTTGGCAGATTATTGCTGAAGTGAAAAAAGTAAATAAAAAAAGTGAAACTGAAAAAAAAAGTTATGACAGTTCAAGTTTAGTATTATGAAAAAATGCACAAAAATACTAATTTTAAATTGCATAAGAAAAAAATATTTTTCCAAAACATGTTTTACAAAAAATCTGAGAAAATCAAAGCCATAAATCTAAACAAATTGTGTTCCGAATTTGAGGCTGATGTCACAAAAAAAACAGCTTTCAGTAAGATTTTGTTTGGGTGCAGTACCAAATGTTTGGACTATGAAATTCACTTCCCATTCGTTTCCAGTACAGTCATTTTTTACTATTTTTTTCAGGGCCATTTAACCTTTTTGAATCATGCCCATGATTTTGTGTGTGTGTTTTGTGTTCACATAACAAGGGCCAAAACCATTACCAAGTTTCGTACTATTCTAATGAAGTAAAAAAAAACAAAAAAAAGTTGTTTGTTCAAAAACTCGAAGAGTTAAACTACATATAAAAGCCAATGTAGCTTCCACTGAAGAGCAGCACATAAACTACTACATGTGTGGAAGGAACAAACACAACAGGTCCACAGGGAGTCTGTGAATCACACTGTCTTGTTTACTGAGCTAATGGGTTAAAGAGTAAAGGAGTGATCAATAATTGGGAGTATGCTTTCAGTCCAGAGAAAAGAGCCATGCGCTTCTCTGTCTATTGAAACAGGCACATACTCATATATTTTAAGAAACAGAAGGAAACAAAACAGAATTAGTGTGGTTTTAAGTGTAATTTTCCCACAAATTGACAGAATACCGGAAACTCTAGTATGCTGCGCATACATGTCATATATGACGCGTTCATTGCATCGACATGTAATAGTCTAAGTACACACACACATACACGCTGAAGTGCTGTAGGGTGTCTTGTTTTGTTTATTGCTAGTTTAAGAGAGCTGCTTGTGTTCTGCTTTTGCATTCCTCAGTAATTACCTACAGCATGTCCCATCCTGCTGCCGCCTGTGCAACACACCAATCATCTAATGGAAAAGATGCTCTAGTCACATTAAGCTTTTAGACTGCATCTACTATTATCACTTTGGGTCGGAAATCAGTGTAGGGTTAATTAAATTGGTCTTAAAAGCAGACATTGGTCACACACAACAACCGCGGATATACCAACACCTCAAATACCAACCTAAAAAACTAGAAATTCTATTTCTGTCAGGACCACTATCGTCAAAGATGATTGACAATTAGCATACAGTTTGGATTGGCGGTATGGTTCTGTTCTGGGCAAGAACTCCCTGTGCATCCATGCAGCCTAGCATGGATTAGAGCAGGGAGAGCAGCGATAACCCCCCAGGGTAAACAGAACAGAACCAATATAAATGTATTGCAGATATCGTTAAAGTTCAATAATTTTATGTACACATTTTAGAATTAGTCTGATTCAAAGGATAATCAGAAGGCTGAATCCTGACTGACAGAGGAGGAGCTGGGGATGGAGGAGGGTAATTAGCTATTGAGCAATGCGAAAACTGCTGATAATACTGAGGGACCTTATATATGAATGCTTAGATAGGTGTCGTATTCCTATAGGTTGATGGGGATCAGCTGATGCAAGCTTGACTAACGTGACCTGCCAGAACTAACGCTACGCTTGATTTTGCTTAAAGGGCGCCAGACTGTTTGATGTTTTACAGTGTGACATTCAATTAAGCACATTTTCACCCCTAATTCTCACTGATAATTATCAGCCTTTACAAATTATTATTATTAGTATTACAGCAAGTATATAAATTAAATGTAGTAAAATACTATAAATATTTATACTATAATATAAATAATTTATACATATTTTACAATTGCATTTATTTAGCATTATAGTAAGGAGTGTAGGTATATTTCACAAATGTAATGCTATAGAGGGTATGCATTGACGTCACTTTCCCGCTGGAACACACCCCCTCAGCCGGACTGAGTGGCTAAAGAGTCTGCTGCACGACTGGATTTAATAGGGAAGCTGCGAAAACGCGAATAAAACAAATGATAATCAGTTTAAACTAAAAGTTGTTGGACTCAATATAATGTTCCTTACAACTTATCAAAGATCCAGATATTGATATGTAGCCAAGAATCATGCC